ATTTCTCTACTCCTACCGAGTCCTATCCATCAAATCCTACCAAATACTCTTGCTCGAGTCGTATAAATCAATTAAGCTCGGCAAAAATAATCAATTAATTGCATTAGAGTAAAAGCGGCGATAGTTTAACGAATGTAATGAAATTTGCTGGCGAGAGGAGCAGCAGAGGGGCATCCTCGTGTATCAGGCTAGGTGAATTTTATGGCAGGTAAAGGAGAGTCGGTGGCCGATGCGGGCATAATGCGAGGCAGGAGTTTGGCCAGGAAGCGAGGCGGGGGTTGGTCGAGCGTGTTCGAAGCAACAAGTTAATAAAAGCTTCGCCGGTAGACCGGTTTCCTTCACTTCGTTTCCGCTCCTCGTACGCCCGGCGATCGCGGAATGCATGGGGAGTAGAAGGTCAAGTGCAATAAAGCCTCGACGTTGATTGGCTCTCGTATTTTAATAGCCTTGGCAGTCGATGGGGCGATTGGCGATTTTATTGCGCATGCGATTGATTTATGAGGTGGTGGTGGTGTGGCGGCAACGGCAACGGCAACGGCAACGGCAACGGCAACGGCGACGGCGACGGCGACGGCGGTGACATTGCGCTATGCATTATGAATAATAAGGCAGAGAGGATAACAATAGCGCAACGTTTGAGGTTAAATTTAATTTGAAATAAGTAATTAGCCTGACTATTTGATATTGCATCTCCAGTCATTGTGGTACGGGATTTCATTTCGCGCCATTTTTGATATTTTTTAATTTTTTTTTTTTTTTTTTTTTTTTATATGAGATATTTCATTAATTTTTCATAATACAAGGTATCGCCTTATTATTGTTGTATTAGTCGTTTGATTAAAGATTGATAATTTTAGTAGTGAAAGAATAATGACCTACCCGTTAAAAAAAGTTACATTGAAAGCAGACGTTTATATGGTTTGCTTGGAGCATGCGTTATCAACTGAGAATTTTGAAGTGATGGGCTTACTTATCGGTGATGTACGTACGCATTGTTAATTTTTATTATAAACGGTATGTCTTTGAAGGAATTCTCATTGTCGATGATTATAGAATGTAGAAGGCGTTACCAGCATATCGGCTATGAAAATTTCAAGCCGCTCTGATAAAAAGAAGGACAGGGTTGAAATATCACCGAGTGAATCAGTGAAAGCCTGGGAGGAAGCTGAACGCTTGACCAAAGAGCTTCATAAAACAATGAGAGTTATTGGATGGTATCATTCTCATCCGCACATTACAATCTGTCCGTCTCAAATTGGTAATATTCATTTGTTATTTGGCCTAATTATTATATCTTTATTATTCTAATTATATATATTAACTTTTCTTTTTATATGTACATATAGACATTAATACACAACAATTGTATCAAACTATGGAGCGCAGTTTTGTTGGATTAATATTTTCAGTATTTTCGGAAGATCAGACTACAAAAGTAAAATAAAATTTTTTTTTTTTTATCACACTTGTTGGTGAAATTGTCTAAAATATTCTTATTGTAGGAACAAGAAGTGATGCTAACATGTTTTCAATCTTGCCATGGCAGTTCTAAAGAAATTCCACTAGAAATAATTTATACACCAAACGTATCTATTTGGTGTTGTCGGGTTAGTATGTAATTTTTAACAAGTTAAAGTCATTTATGTTTATATAAATAAATACTTATTAAATCCTAAGATTCGTCATTCCCACGTCTAATGTACTAGCTTAAAGAATGTTTTTTTTTTCTTTTTAACATAAAAATTACATTTTCAAATTCGAGCAATATAGTAAATAAAGATCCGATTACATTTTGAATAATGGTGAAACAATTCAATATTTTATTTTCATTACCGCAATCTTACCCATTATTTTGGATAAAATGTAAAATACAAGCATTTATATTTCTAGTCGATGATAGAATTACCACAAATCTTAGTACAAGAAGAAAAGAATGTGGCTGAAAATTACAAAAATCACCCAGACATTCTTGTCCATATATGTAATAACGCAGGTGAATATAGAAAATAGTATTAAATTTAATGCAGATTTTTTTTATATTTTGACAAGTATACCGAGTACTTTTTTTCTGTTTCAGTATACATACAGGCACTGTGCCACATAACCGACATGGTCACAAAACCATTGGTACATGCACTGACCGAGCGATTAATATCGAATAAAAAAAGCTCTGTTTTTCTTCAAGAACAAATTGATGATTTAAAAAAATTATTAATAAACCCATAACAGTTTTTATTATTAAAGAAATAAATATTTACGTTTTTTTAATTTTAATGTTGGTAATAAACGTTTTCACACACTTTAGTTATTATGTTTAAAAATATTTTTTGTAAAATATTATAATTTAATAATAAAAAAAGTTTATTATGAATATCCCTGAGTAGAACAAATAATTAGCGATTATCGATTATTTTTATTTTATTTTTAAGAACAAAAATCAGGCGATAACTCACACTGCTACATATATACACTACAAGAACAGCGTCGTATTTAAATAAATTTAAGTGTATTTAAAACACTGATTCCGCAGAACGTGAAAGATGAATGGGATGCGAAGGGCTTCGTGCCAGCCTTTTACGAGGTAGCTTTTCAAGCGTTGTTAAAAGTTTTGCAAAATCTGGTCGATTTTCCGGGTGATACGACCAACAAAGCATTAAAATATCCTATAAAATGTCAATGTTATCGTAATAACAAGTCTCAACAAATTTAAAATTATACATTTCGTATGTGAAATTCCGTACTGTACCTTAACGTCACGGGAGGCCTGTAAATTGGCTAAAGTTTGCTTCATTCCTTTGCCAACCTGCCAAATTATGGCTTCGGGAGGTTGTCCTTTAAATGGCCACTCGCCGCACAAAAGTTCGTACCAAACAGTTCTAAAATTTAAAATACAATGATAATTTCGTGACTTTTAAAAAGCTTCGGAATAGGAACATCTTGTCATTTTGAAAAGTTTATTGTTATAAGCAATTATTAGTTAACGCGTGATACTTCATGCAAATACTTATTTTAATGATACTAACAATGGCTTTTCCTCTATTTTTCAATCACGATACCTTTTGCAGTAAATTTACGGCGAGAAAGCAAAATGTATGTAAAAACAAAAAAAAAAAAAAAAATTACCCAAAAGCATATACATCGGATGAATCTGTAAATGGTAACTCTTCTTGATCTCTATTATGTCGAGGTCTTAATCGTCTTACAATTTCAGGAGCCAAATAGCACAGCCATCCCGGTGGTATACTTAGTCCATTACCCGTTCTAGCGTTACGAACAATTAAATATTTTAAATATTTATACATATTATAATTATACATATTAATTTGGGGCTGCATTTGCGTTTACCTGTTCCCGTAACACAGCTTGGTAACACTAAACAATCCAAAATCAGTTATCACAACCTTTCCGTTTTCTAAGAATATATTCTTACTTTTGAGATCCTTATGGACAATTCCACGGGCATGAAGATACCCCATTCCCTAGTTGAATAGAAAAATTTATGAACGTTTCGATCTAAGTGGAATGTTCTTTACTATGGATAATTAAAAAAGAAAAGGTCGTTCTAGAAAGTCGGTCGCTTAAATGAAAATTACCTGAGATATTTGCTGAGCAATAATCGTAGTTTTATTCATATTAAATTTATCTTTACGTAAATGAATATGAGTATAAAGAGTCATGCCCTTGCTCATACTAGTAACTATTGCCAAGCGAGGAGGCTTCATACAAGCACCCATAAATAAAACTAAATTTTCATGCCTCGTTTTACGGAATGTTGCAACCTGTTTATTTTTAAGTTAAACATTATTTTGCAAATTCTAATGCTCGTTAATTATGTACGAACCTCCAATTTGAATGCTTCCAACGTTTTATCATCATCTAGATAATAGTCCATGTTTAAAACCTTAATCGCTACATCTCCATGCCAATTGCCTCTATACACGGTACCAAATCTTCCAGTACCAATAGGTTCTCCAATTTTTAGTTCATCATATGGAATGTCCCACTCACGCATAGATAACTAGTAGAGTAGATAAGTTAAAATTTTATTTTTATCGTTAGTAAATAGTTACAAACGGGCTATTGACATGACCTTGTCTTACATTATTAAAATAAATTGCCGCCTACACTCTATAAATATTATAATTTAATCATCTATTTATTTTATTTATTTATTTATTCCCCCCCCCCCCGCTCCCTTCTAATTTATGTATCTCGTATATTGTGTAGTTAATAAGCTTAGAACTTGGTGGTAAGAAAATTATTTGGTTAACAAGATATACAATTTTTTCCTACCGGCACTTAGCGCGCTTAATTTAATGTCATTTTCGATTTAATATTGCCTCCACTTCAATACAAGCCACTCAAATCGAACAATCAATTAATTATTTGAGCATATCTTTCTTTACAATATACAATGAAGACAGACTTTATAATACTTATAATATAAATGAAAAAATCTAGAGCCGACAAATCAAATAAATCTTGCTGCGAAGCAGAAACAAAGAACAAAGACGTTAATGCAAAATTCATCGTAAGTAACTGAGATTTTTACTTCATCTATACAAAATACTTACGCTATTTTGCCTTGGCCAACGACTATCGCCCGGTTCTCCGTCTGATACTTGTGAATCTTGAGAATCCACTCGTACTGGAGTTCTCTCCGAATCTGTACTCACACTCCCAGATCCAGAAACGCTCACCGTCCTATCGCTGTCGCTGGAAACTGTTCCCTCAAGTCGATGAGTTTCTAGAGTGACACCTTTATCATTAGGCGCAATGTCTAAAATTCACGCCGTCAATTTACCAAAATTTATTTATTCCAAATGCTTAGCAGGTTAATGATAAATCATTGTTCTCGAATAGGCAAACTTACCAGGAAAGTGGAATTGCTGTTTGACTGGTACCTGAGGAATTTGGCCAACATTCACAGGTATCAATGCAGGACTAGAAGGTGTCGAGCTATTGCAACTCGAGGTATTTGAACTAGAGTCTGCACCCTGGTAACGGCACGTATATTTAGTATGCCAAAAGTGAATTTGAAAACTGGATGAGGCGTTACGACGTTTCTGGTGTTATCAATGTCAACAAAATAATTTAGAGCTTGTGATGATTAAAACTAAGGCTTTAAAACAACATGGTACAGTAATTAATGGTTTATATACCACGCTGAATCGTTATGAGCTCAAAATTGTTGTCGGAAACTTGTCATAGAAGTGTGCTGAGAAATTTGATTAATTATTCTTAAATATAGCTTGCGTGCTTGGAGAAAAACAAACAAATTTTTTAAAATAAAATTTCAACTGAACCATATTTTTAACTGAATGATTTGTGAGATGGTAGGCGAAATGATATTTACAAGTCTTACCTGAAATGCTATGTTCATGGATGGATGGGGGTGAGATCGTTTTCTATCTCTTCGATTAAGAGAGGCTAATAAATTGGAATTGTGGTGATTCGGTGACATGATTCCTGGCTTGTTTAAGATTGGAGACGCATTTACCATACCTGAGAATCAATCGATAAGCATTTCATGAATTATTAATAATTGAAGAATCGAATGTCAGAGCAACGGATCAAAATTACTTTACTCCTTGATTTGAAATCATTTCAATACAATTAAATCAACTCATGATATTTGCAAATTTAATTCTCTACTCATAACAATATTAATCATATTAATTGCTATCAAAATTGTATTACTCTTATGGTAAATATTTTTGACTATATATTTTTTTTAATTTAGAAAGGTGCTCGAAACTTTTGTCTTTAATCATTTGTAGCTCTGAATTCGGTATTTTAAAACAATAAATGAAATGTTGTTATATGTACTATCAGCTTGTAAAGTTCTTTTAAACTCATCGAAAAGTTCCTGAGGTAAACCACAAGATGGTGGTACTTTGGATTCGCAGTCCCTGTGACACTTATACTTGCACTCTTTACACTTAAGACCGGTGCCAATAAACATTTGTTTATCGCAATAATCACAAGTTGTCATCATTTTGAAGGTTTTCGTGAAACGATGATTAATAACGTGTCCCATTCCACGAGTTACCGTGGGCGTTCTAGGAGACTTTGGCACTTGAAGACTCGTCACTATTAATGTTAGGATATAATTTTTATTTATTAATTATTCGTAAATATTCGTATTAATTAAATATTACAATAAATTTTAATTATAGATATAATGGATAGTAGAAGAATTAAGACTCGAGGCTTGGAATAATTCTCAATTACCCGTTCCTTTAAAACTATTATCATCGCTTTCCGCACTTGAATAAGGTGGAGATTTAACAGGACTGTTATTGGTCGGTACCAAATTATCACCAATATTATCTGCACCGCTGTATGAACCAGGTTCGGTTGGTAAACGACTTCTCCTACTAACAGAAGTTACTTGCTGCTCGGTAGTGGTACTGAAAGTACATTAATATACGAATTATAAATTCATGACAATGATAAAAATTAATTTGTACTAGAAATTGATTTTGTTATACGATTACCTAGGAGTGATTTCTCCCTTTTCAAGACGATTTGCCAATTGTGATTCATGAGATTTCGACTTTGTCAATGGAAATACTTCAGGTTGTAATGGATTATCTGACCCGCTTTGATTCTTTTTACACGGAGGTGGAGTTGTAGAAAATTTTAGTCCTAACGCTACTCACGAATATCGTAAATAAAACTTTGATCGCATTAAATATAATTATACAAATGACTTTACTAACCTTGACCTTTCAATAATAAAGGTGTCGACGGTGGACTAGTAGACGATGATAAAGATACAACGGACGAGGCTTGAGCCAATATTTCGCTATTAAAATTATTATTATTGTGATATGGAATGCTGTCTTCGGAAGGTACTGAACTTCGTGTAATACGTGATCGTATGGGTCGAGGTGATGCACCGCTTCTCACATGATGTCTATCCCAGGAATCCCAGTATAAATTCATATCGTTATTTTCCATATCACCTCTGACGAGTACGTCTAAACACACGTTAAATTGTTTGTAAATTAATTCATCTTTAAAATATTAATGTACAATGATTTTTATGATTAGATAATTTAACGATACAATATTTGATGGAGCTCGCAATAAAATTAATGCGCACTTAATAATTGACCAGTTAATTATACATGCATCGAGAATATCAATTAAATAAGCAAATAAGTTTTTACCCATATATCGACGAAGATTGTGAAGCGCTCTACATAATCTGCGCAACTCCTCCTCGTGTCTCATATTGCTTTCACCCAGTATGGATCCCAACTCGTGCTCTGATTTTTCTTTCAAAGACTCTAAAGAACTGGCTTTCGAACAAACCAACTGGAAAATTTAAAGAAATTATCTTGATATTTATAAAATGTACATCATTTTCAAAATGGACTCGAATCGTTTATTTTCTTTACCTGAATGGATTCTGGCGTAAGACCTACAACTCTCAGCCATTGTTGTAAAGACGGATATTGTCTCATTTCTACTGGTAGAGATTCGATAGCAAGTTTCTCTTTGGTGACAAGTTGCTTTGAGTAAAGTTTTATTAGCTTGCCCTATGAAATTTTAACATTTGATTTGTTATACAAGTCAATTACACAAATTGTACAATTTATTGTAATATTGTAAATGTATTTTCAAAAACAAACAATACCTATTAAATGGTATTAGTGGGTAAAAATTATTATTAAATAAGAACACTGTGGTAGCTATTTTAGATTTAAGGTAATTTGAGTGTAAGATATAGCAATAAATAACTTTATGGATTTATAAAAGCTTGCACTTATTAAATGTATCAAAAATAATTAAAATTTTTCTTTTAAATATAAGCATTTGAATTTATATGAGCTTGCTTTATAACTACTCCAATCATTATTTTTGTTTTGATTTATTTGTGATTAAATATGGCCCTATAATTAATAAAAATATAGTTGTTTGGCAACGAAGTAGGCTAAAAATTGAGAAAAATTAAAATATATCGATTTAAATGTTGACATTGATGAATTTATTTTTAAAAATATTTATCGATATTAAACAAGCATCTATTATCTGAATAAACAAAACAATTTGTCATAATATTATAAATCTTATTATATAAAAAGTCATTCTAGTTGTTTTAACTGGATTTTTTTTGAACATATACGACATTGCTCGATACAACAAAAGTATAAATGATATTAATCGTTTAAAAAAAAAAAAAAAAAAAAAAAAAAAAAAAAAAAAACCGAATACTATACTTATAATAGAAAATATAAAAATCAATTACTAACCGAACATCATAATTGTTTTAATTTTTACTTACAATTAAAAAATGAATAAGAAATAACCTCTTTTTACCATTATACAACTTTTTACAATTACATTTTATAAATTGCAGATTGAATGGCTAATGAATCAATAGCTAATCAATAGATAATTTATTCTATAACTTTCTTATTAAGAGAATATATCGTAAATCATATGTTATAATACAGCTAGACTGGCATCTTTTTAATTCGTAAATAATTTCTCGGTAAATTTATATTTAAACATTGTACTGGCAGTCGTGCTAGTGAAATTCCAGTCAATTAACGTTTCGTAATAAATATTACAGAAGATTTATAAAGAAAAATTAAGCCACGGGTTCGCTTACGAATTATCTGCATTGTTATAGAACGGTTTTCTCGTATATCCAAAATTTTTTATTCTTTTCTATCGGAATAAAATAAGATCGTGAATTTGTAAACTAAATTTGCCTGTCCGCGATAACAAATATCTCAATTTCGAATGAGAAGAGAGAAGTAACACGAGAAACACAATGCATAATTGTCATAATGCAATGTGAAACGATGTATAACCTCGAGAGTGCGGATCTCCTGTTGGGTGAGCTCGGCGCTTGTCGAGCACTGGGTCCTAAGGCCCTCGAGTCGGTCCGCCGATATATCAATCATCGACTGGACGACTTCCAGGGCCCTCCGTATTTCTTGCTCCGCATCCTCGCTTTCCGCCATCCCTCGAGAGCGCGGAGACACGATGACGTCCTTATCGTACTCGTCGTAGTCGTCGTCGTCGTAGTCGTCGTCGTAGTCGTAGTCGTCGTCGTCGTCGTAGAGCAAAGCCTGGCGAATCTCCTCTCACTTCTTCAAACTCAATTCAAATAACTGGCAGCTTCGATCCGGACGCGCGATCCACGACTCCTGGCAGTAGCGAGCCGTTACGGCTGATCCGCTACTACACAAGCACGATTATCCTCCTCATCGTCGTAGCCGATCGCAGCAGCCAATTCCTTTCCGAGAGAGGCTTGTGCGTGCGGCACACACTCGCGACTTCGTATTCTTTTTCTCACTCGTTCTCACCCGCCTACCGAATGCCCTAGCCAAATATCACTATATTATCAACATTGACAAAATGACAACCATCTTGGCGGCTCGTTCCTCGCTCCTTCTCTCTCTCCCAAGCACACACGCGCGCCCGGGAGAGGGGTGTAGCCCCTTCCTTCTCCAATACTCCTTCCAACCTCGTTCGTCCCCTCGCCAGCCTTTTGCCACCGCACCGCCCGGACCCCACCGCCGACCTTGCCCACGACACTGCCACCGCCACCGCTGCCGCTCGCCACGCTCGCCGCGCTCCCTTCCACCGGCTCCTTCTCTCACGTATGCTACCCTCGCTGACGTCAAGAGGTGTACGCCGTGCGCAGCATACACAGCAGGAGGTGGACTCTATATAGAGACAACGAGCTTCTCGTGCGAAAATCGAAGACTATCTATTATGAATTTCGTCCCGGGTCGATCTACCGGACTCATCAATAAGCCTGTCTCGCCTTACTGCCCGGCGAAGGGGAAGGGAATTATCGCTCGTGGTGCTGGGCGGATGGTTGGCGGGAGGAACGGCGGGGTGCAAGGCGCATTGTAGGTGTCTCGCCTCGATTGCCGTCCAAATCCTCGTGTGTACATCTTATTCCAATGAGTTTGGAAGTATTGGTGTTTTGGTGCGCCGCAGGCGCGAGGGCAATGCAAATTGAATGTGGATCGATGCGCGGGATATTTGAATGCGTGCGTCAGTAAACGCGCGGTGCAATAGCGTAATCCCTCGGATGTTCGATTCTCGAGATTTGATTTAAATGGCGAGCGGCGCGTACTTTAAAGTCCTTAAATCTACGGTACGACCGGTTAAAGTACGTTCAATGAATGGTAATTGGTCGTACTGGAATGTTTATGGCTTTTCTCCCAGCCTTAGAGCTCGCGCGATTGCGAATTATGTGGAACGAGAAGTGGCAATGTGTAGCGATGGCCAGAAAGAGAAACGCCGTGGAGTTAAGAGGACGAGGAAGCCCACTTTTTACCAAACAGATCCCCCAATAAACGTGCGCGACAGACATCAATTTCCCTTCCGCTCTCTCTCTCTCTCTCTCTCTCTCTCTCTCTCTCTCCTGCTCCCGCTCCCGCTCCCGTCCATCTATTTTATCGTCAACCGACGAACTTTTAGAATGTAAGATGAGAACTGTACAGGAGAGAAGAGAGGAAGTGCCGGAATGAATATTTTTCATAGTACCAGATATATTAACAATATTTGCATGCCGTATATAGTATTGTAGAAATGTTTTTTTTTAGTTTTTTTTTTTAGATTATTAGATTAATTTTTTAGAATTAGAAATTATAATTAGAAATATTTTTCAACTTTACAATTTTCAATATGTTTAAAATCAGTTTATTAGACTTAAAAGTACTATGAAAATACATATATATTTTAATAAAAAAAGAAATATATATATATATATATATATATATATATATATATATATAGTGGAGTTATAGTAGAGTATTTGTATTTTTTTCATATAAACGATTAAAGAATACAGTATTTATTGACTCGATTAATGCATAGAAAAATTTAAATACTTCTTTTACATTTATTTATTGATTGATTGATGAAAATGAACGAGAAAATGGAACATACGATCGAATGCGTCTAGTGTCATTGAAATTATTACACTCAATATTATTTATGATGCGATTTATTTATTAAAATTATCGAACATTTACATATAATTAAAATTTTGTTTTTGTTTTGTATGTACAATGCATATTTTTCCTCATTTTAGAAGCAATTATTTTTCTACGATTTGTATTATAAAAATGTGTAAAAATATATTCTATTTGAATAAAAGCCGCTGGTGATTAAATTATTTTTTCTTACTTTTAAAAAACGAATAGTGTGATTTTAAATTTAAACGCGGCACTCAAAATGTATTATGTTTGCAAAAATTGCTACAATTGCAACAAATCTACTATGCTTTGAGTATCTCATTATTAAGAGGAATTGTTAAATTTTTGCTTTTAAATGAAGTTAACTTTTTTTCTTTTTTTTCATTAATAAAAATAATGCAATGTTGTATGGCGTGAAAATAATTTTCTATGAAAAGAATCTCAATTGTAGGAAATACACATTTGCATTACATTTAATGTTTTTAAATAAGCTTTATGGTTAAGTTTATTTGAATGAGCTGATACGGTCGAACATTTAATGTCGTATATTGCATATAAATTCAGTTATGACTAATCTTTTGCATAATAATAATGATATGATGGCGCTATATAGTTTAACTTTATCATGTGTTATTATTATCCAAAAATAATTTAAAGATTTCGTATTATTACTATTGTCCATTCTCATCTCTTTATTTATATCTCTTAGCAGAATATAGTATCCATTTTTTTAAGTTTAGCATTTCAAGTAAATTCTCCAATTTATTTACAGTTGTAAAGCAGTGCCTTGTTTTACATTATGTATTTATAAATAATTCAAAATAATTCACTTAATTTTCTTTAATTCTTTATTAAAATAACCGTATGACCTTTATTTTTTTATTTCTTTAGCCTTGAAGGTCGATCTCATTCAAATCATGTTAATATTAAGAATATTGGAACTGTGTTCATTAAGTGTGAAAAATCTGTTATGCTGGAGTTTAGTATTGTTGGTTTTATAATTATTGAACTATTATTTATGATTTTTCTGCAATTTCGGTTTTTAGTTTACTAGTTATTTCTATCGGATTTTAATAAAATTTCACCTTTCATAATCTATTATATTGCTTAAATTAAAATTATTAACTGTAAAATATATTATTAATTTTTCTTCCCATTAATAAATAATTTTATTATTTCTAAATGTATTTCTCATCTTAACTTGAAAACGATTTTTAAATGAATATATATTATAAATGAAACAATTATAGTTTTTATGGTTCTTAAATGTATTCATTATATATATATATATATATATATATATTGGATTGCATTTTATTTCTTTGAATAAATTGTTTGTTTGTACATTATTAATTAGTCAGTTACATTAGTAATTCGATTTTATTTTTATACAATTCATCTTGAAATTACATATAATCTATACAACTATCGATTTTTCACACAGTTTATTATACAATTTTATTCAATATTTTCATTAGTTACATTTTCTTTTATTACAAATTATAAATGTCGCGTTTATTATCATACTTATATATAAATATAGTATCAAATTAATTTTTTTATTTTATCTAAAAACTCAGTTATAGTTGAAAATTATATCGGATTTTAAAGGATAGCAATATAATTTTAATATTGTAAATATTTATTACTTACAAATTATACAACTAAACACACAAGTATGAAGTTACGTATGCTTAAAAAAAAAAAAAATAAGGACAATAATTTTTAATATATTAAGCAATTGAACTAAAATTAATTGATTTTTTAAATTTCGAACCTAATCGTATATTGAAATTTTATCAAACAATTGAAACTTCTCGATTGAAAATTAAAATTGTTAAATTATCATTTATTTCTTGGTAAAACTTCAGCTAGAAATTTTTAAGAGACTTACAATAAATTTGATTGAATGGAAAAAAATTTTTTATTAAAAACAATCACCTGTAGAAATAAATAACTTGGAATATTTTTTGAATTTTACATTATTGAATTTAAATATTGTAATATACTAAGCAAATCAAATTATTTTTGTTTACGTGTATTCTATAATTTTTATTATTCCATAATGATGCATTGTGAATTTTTTTTTTATTTCATAAGAATAAGCAGTCAAAATTTTAATTGTTGGATAATAAAATAAAATTATAATCATAAATTTCATTAAATTTAAAAGAAATATAAGGACTTATCTACATAAAGCAGTTATATTGTTAGATAAGTTAGTCTTTATATTATTTATATTATAAAGTTTCTTAACACTACTCTTGTTTTCTCGTAAATCTAAAAATCTTTTATTATAAAAGACATTATAATTAAAACGAAGGCTCGAAATATAAACTGTTAAAGAATATTACAAGAGTATATATTCATAGAATTAAAAAGTTATATATATATATATATATATATACATATATCAAGAATATTATGTAAATTATTTGTTAAATGAAGGAGTGGAAAAAGATTTGAAATAATGAATGAAGAACTATAAAACCTACATGGAACGTTTGGGGTTCAACGTAGATAGAGGAAGGAGGCAATTTGCGCCTTTCCATTTACTTTCATCTACGAAATACATAAACGAAAATTTTCGTACGTAATATAATTTTCACGATTATATTTTGTAATATATTATTGGCTTATAGACGTACATATGTATATAAACTTAGTGCCCATTGTATAAGAAAGTAAATAATCTTATTGTTACGTATTAATATGCTTCTTCTATATTATCTATTACCCTAATATTATTACATTACCATCCAATTTATAATTCTAATATTATTCTTTATCATTGTTTATACTTTTTCGTATATTATTCTTTGGTTGCGCATAGATTGTGTGTTTTGAACAATGCTAGATACTTGTTCGCGAGGAATCGAAACGGATGTATGTGACGTCTGCTCGGGTGTCGTGCATTGTTGTTTTTCTTTTGTAGTGACGGTGGAACGATATGGAGGTCGTAACCAAGAAACATTATATTAAAGGCGAATTGTTCTAAAGCCAACAAACGTCCTTTCTCTGTAGGTCTTTTCTTTGTAACGAAGCCTCTGGATCTTTCTTTCGGTCTTTCCCTTTATGAGAACGTTTTTCTGTACCACTATGAGAGTTAATGTCAAATATTTCATAATCAACAAAGAAAACTTTTTATATGAATACAGCCTATAAAAGAACATTATGAGAAAAATTCATTTCTAATTAAAATACATATTTTGAAATGAAAATAGATCACATTGATATTAAATATTTTACCAATTTTTTCTAAATATTCAATCAAATTGATAACGAATGCTATGGTGAAGTATTTTAATAGTTACATATTTTAATAGCAAAAGACAAATGCACGATCATTATTTGTTATTTTTGTTATTTCGACTATCGTTGTTATCGTTGTTTTAGTAAGGTATATTTCATGGATACTCCATATTTTCATATGCGAAAGAATAATATTAACTATTTCTATGAAATCCTATTATTGGACTTTATATTTTATTGTTTGTACTTTAATTAAAATTGAAAGCATTTGAATTTTTATCACTCTAGATTCAAATCGATAAAACCGTTTATTTATTACAAAAATACCCCAAATGCAATCAAAAACTAATCGCTTTTGTATATATTTTTAATTTTGTATATATATATTCCTCACTTTGATTTTCAATTATTTCAATTATTAAAGAATTTCGAAAAAAAAAAAAAAAAATCAATTAAAAATAAAACTGGAATATTATAAGCCAATTTCGTAGCAATAATTTGTAATATTTAAAAGTTCGTACGAATTGAGCGAGAAAATGAAACGGCATATTAATACAAGACAATCAGATATCTTTCATTTTAAATTAAAAATATCCAAATATTTTATAAGCATAAAGCATTATCTTATGTTATAAGCTACTATTCCGACGCATTAGTAAAATTTTATTTTTCAATTGCCTCACGTACGAGAGTAGTGTATTACTCTTCAACTACAAATGCATCGATACAAATAATTCATGTAATAAATTCGATCTTCGATTTATTTTATTGTTTAGTCGTTATTACTCGTTATTACTCGTTTACGAGCATGTTTCGTTCTGTGTAATTTTTATAATCTTTCAAACTCACTTTTCCGAATTGGACGAACAGTTCTAATAGCTTTAGGAGTGGTATGTGCAGAACAACAACATTTTTCATTGACCTCAACAAACAGTGGAAAGTGTCAATGCGAATGCTAAAGCGCAGCATTAATGAGTACAAAGAGGTTGGATGAGGAGGGTAAGAAATCTAAATTAAAACAATTAATCAGCCCGTCGATTATTTTTGTCGAAAGGACTGTGAATCGTTGTTGACGTTGGCTTCTCTTTGCCTATTCGGCCGTGATTAAAGAGTTCAAGCCCGAGGAAAGTCGGAGACACTCGAGCCGTAATCGTTACACCACCAACACCGACAGCCGCACTCTTATTTATTATTCTAGTTACAAGCTTCGCTTACCTTACTTTGCATAATTTAATTATATTTAGAATGGTTGATAATGTGTATAGTTTTACAATTCATTACTACAATGCCAATTCTACAATAAAGTCAATAAACGATTTAAGTTTAAATATTTTCCATATCTTATATATCCATTGCTTTTTTTAGATCTACGTATTCACGATTTTTTTTTTTTTTTTTTTTTTTTTTTAATTAATTTTTAAATTTGTTAAATTTGTGAGTTCGGGATATTCTTCTGCTACAAAGAATTTGAGAAAAGTATTCGGTATTGCTGTCTAATTTAATTCTAAAAATCCTCTTCTGTCTTATCAACTGTTGAATACTTATTATTTACTTACATTTTTAATAGGGATCGTTATATATTTTAAATTATTTATAACTGTATGCTGATCGCTGATATATATATATATGTAAATATTCTTTTTCGTTTTATTTACGAATATTGCATAGCTATTAAAACAATAAATATATTCTTTGCTAAACTATTGATAATGTCATATTTTACATTCAGGGTAAATCAAAAATTCATTCTCATTGCTCTTTTAAGTTTGTATGTGTTTCGTACGTTTGGTGCATTATTGTTTTAGAGTTACTTAGTTATTAATATAATTCATTAACTAAAAATTTATTAACATTTATTGCGAATAATTCATTTACCCAATTTTATTTACCCAAAAATTCCCATTGCTCTCAAAATCATTTTAATCGAGAATAATAAAGGTTCATTTATATTAGATATCCAATAGATAATTTTTTTTCTTATAGACTCATGATATCTACGCCTAGTTTTCATAAGCTTTTTATCATTGTTTTTCAATATATGATAGTAAAAAGTTTGAATTATTAAATAATATTCGATCGTGTCTCGTGTCGCGGATGTTCGATTTCACGCTACGATTATTATACGGCATGACGAGAAAAAAATGACCTAATCTATCGTCTCTAATGCTCATCTCTAAAAGAAAATATAATAAATATACGAGTTACTGAATAATGAATAAGACGATACCGTTGTAAATTAAATTCTCAGCAATGTATATAATTTTTAATATTATCTTCTAACGTTATCATAAGGGCGCGTGCTGATTTTTTCGCTGCTGATTAATAACGAGTTCGATTTAAAATTATCTAATGGTAGAGACGTTGGCACCAGGAGGCGGATGTCCATCAACGTAGCGTAGCGACACTTTTCTTCCTTCCACTCGGTTCGCCCTTTCTACAATTTGCACAATTGTCTCTAATCCAGCGATAATTGGCACAATTGACAATGTTCTCACGTATTAAGTCGTATACGTACAATTCTCATTTTTAGAATTGTTTCCATAATAATTTTAGAAGTACTTAAGAAAAAAGAAAATTTCGACAATTAGATATTTTTCACTGGGCAATGTATCACAAAAAGATTATGATTATTGGTCGACTGTTAATCACATTTTAATGCTTTCAATGTCATTTAAAATGATGCCTTTAGGTTGTAGAAGCATTCCTTAAAAATTCATACAGTTTCTTATTTATTTGTAAATACATCTTTAAATTACAATTGGTTATAACAATGATGATTGTGAATTTTTTCCCTTGTACTTATGAAAACAAATAATTGGCAGTTTGAACGAATGCGAAAGAAAGTATAGCCACACGCTTAATGAATATATAAATTTTTTGTTCCTATCATTGGTCAGATTTATTTGCAAGTATTTCCGACAGATTAAAATATAATTTTCAATTCGTATTATTATATATTATGCCGTGTGTTATTGTCTTTAGTCTTGATATCGCTGCAGATTAGAAATCAAATTAGAGTAATCAGCATTTGGTAGATAAGCTTAAATTAGGATCAATGATAGAGAGAAGTGCTCCCACTAGATGCAAAGATCCCGTCACTAGCACTTGCGGCTTACAATATCCATCGCTCATGGAATTCACCTGGCCGTCGATCATTTTGAGAGCATCGTAAACGCTATTGGCTGTAACTGAATTCTCCCCCCATATCTGCACATGAAGTTGGCATCTCTCTATCTCTTTATTGCTATTGATATTGGCATTGATATGATCTGCGATAGTAGTTAAGCCGGTGACATTCGGTACGAAGAAGACTTTACTAAATCCTAGCTGTTTTAGAGGATTCAGTAGCGAAGCTGAATCTCTTGCCCCCGTTATGTTGAAGATGAGATACTTTCTCCTCTTTTCTCTGTACAACAATAATAATAATTAGTAATCTCCTATCGTATAATTTGAAATTTCATTGATTCGTATTGTTATTGATCCATTCATTTATTAATAATTATAAGTTATCAGCTCCGCTGATAATACATGAACTTTTGTAAAATTTGTGTAATTTAATTGATTAATAACTTAATAATAAGCCGAATAATAAGTAAAGGATAAGTTGAAGAACTAACTCGGTGAACTAAACAATTTTCTTTTATTTTATAATGTCGGCAGTAAATAATTGCATCGAGTTTATGACTTTTAAGCTTTTAATGCTTAAAAGCATAGAAATGTAGCGTTCAAAAGCTTACAGATCAAATACGATGTGAACAGCTGATTTTATAATATATGGTCAAAAAGGTGTTTCTAACCCTGTTTTTACGGTGACATCTCGAAACCACGAAACGCACGTTTCAATGCTTTCAATAGTATGTGCTCCATCGATATAGAAATCCATCGTTTCTCGAGGCAAGAATTGCGTTCTTCCGGGCCACTTGCATGTTTCCAGGGCGGTCGCAACCTTTGCGAAGCAAAGACTCGTATTTGGGCTATTATTATTATTGTTCGCAAGTACATAGTAATTGTTATTGTTTGTCGCGTTGAAAACGTCAGCATCGTTATCGTTTGTCATACACTTGGAGGTATTCGAGCAATTGTTTCCACGTCTTTTGTGCCTCATCATCCAACTGGAGGCTAACTGAATAGCCAATGAAGCATTATGATTTTGAACCTTACAAGGAATGCCTGGAATATATAGTTTATTCGTTGTTAGAGTTGTTCAATCGCGATCGCTTATTACCCTAAATTTTAATCGCCTCAACGATTAACGTGAACGCGATATCGCAATAGTGAGCGCTGCAGTGTAATCGTGAAACGTTGGCTTTCATAATGAATTTCTAAGTAAATTAACGCGATATAATTAATTTAATTGTAAACATCAGTCGACTAAATGTCAGCCGTCGAGTTTTAAGATAAGTAATATCTTTGCTAATTAATTCATCAACGTCATTTCATCGATAATTTCAATTACAATAAAAATATTTCACGAACATTGTAGCATTGTAAAATTTCTTTATTAATATCTTTATCAAACCATACCAATAATTGCAATCACTTTTCACTTCACTTAATTGCATTAACCACGTATCAGCATATTTTCAGCGTGCTTTTATCGAGATAACGCAATATAACGAAAGACCAAACACACTCGTAACAATTAAAAAATCATCGTTGAACATTCTAATATTTAAATTAAATATGACATTAAATCGTTCCTCTTAGCAACGTCTTTACGCGATCATTACGAGGAGGATATAATTTTTTAAATATTATTACGTTATCTATCCTGTTAACGAGTTAAAAAGTGTACCTAGAACGGGCTGTGACTTCTTCCAGGGATAACTTTGTAGATTGGGCACAATGCTCAAGGAGCATCCCTTCTCGACGGCTCGGTTGTGTAGCACCGACATCGCATTTCTTGGCTGTGGGATGGTAAATGCCGGCGCCCCAGGCTTGAAGATCCCTGACTTTTGAAAGGCTATGGACTCGAGAGTGTTGCCCAGCACGGAAGTGTGATCCAGTCCGAGCCTCGCAATGCCTGTGCACACGCTGTTTCTCACGATATTCGTGCAATCGAGCTCGCCACCGATACCCACCTGCCATTTAACAACATCACGACGATCTCATTATCGATTCAGCTCATTTTCTCGTTGATGCTCGATTTTGAGAATGATTTCAAATAAATAGCGAGAGGATAGCCGTCGGAGACGAAAGGTTGCTTGCTGCTGGGTCTGGGAAAGTACGTGACTGGGGGACTTTAACATATGGTAGAGAAAAGGGTAAAAGTGCGTCAGCGGTATAGTAATTGGATTTAAATATATTTAGATATAGAAATATCAAAATGCATTTCGCGAATCAGCGCTTGTTTATGGAGGACTGAGCGAAGACAGCTAAATAAATGCGCAGAAGGTAACTTTTAGATATTTGAGTTAAAGGAGAAATCGACAATCTGCTCGAACGCCTCTCCTGTCAAAGCCTCATTCTCAACGTTAGATGCGAGAGGCAAGGATGTGGTTATCGAGACCAAAAACAAGAAAAGACAAATTATCTTGATTATTCGGATCGAAATATCCGAGATCAAAGTTTTATGGAAACTCGATATCGTCTACCTCAGCAAATTGCTTCGTTTTAAAAAAGAAATATAGCGAAGGAAGGTAAGTAAGGAGGGTAGTCGGTGAAGATGGGTGAAGAAGTGTCGAGATACAGCCGTGGGAGGAGAAAAGAACACTTCTGTTGTACATTGTGCGGGGACCGACATACCATATAAGAATCGAATAATTTATATTTTCTTGTATTGTCAGAAATTAGGTTACAGTAATTTTACGGTTACGGCAATAATTTCCTGCCGTATTTAACTGGAGACAAAGAGTTTAATTATTGAATAAATGATGTACAACATTTATCGAAAATTAAAAAAAAAAACTATAATTGTTAGAAATCAGAATTATTATATGTAAAGAATTATACAGTTGAAATTTTGAATATAAAAGAATTATAATTGAATCAGTGATTTGTCTTAATGTATGCTATGATGAAAAATTTTTACATTTACTTGAAAAAGTCTCGCGAATGTCTAAAATAATAATAAAAAAGAAATAATGGAATTTGATAATGTAGATTGCCGAAAAACTCAACGGCAAATAAGAAAAAAATTAAAAGAAATATAAATTTCATCACAAAAGCATGTCTCATGTATAAAAAGAATTGTTACTTTTTAAATAATGTCCAATGTCAAATGAAAATATTTAATATTTACATCGTTAGCGAAACAAATAGAAAAATTTTATATACAATATTCCTTGTACACAGACACAGTTAAAAGTATATAAAATTATATAAAATTTTTTTTTTTTATACGATATTTTAATACGATTAATTAAAGGACAAAAATTAAACAAAAATTAAAGGACAAAAATTTATCTTCTAAGAGATGTCAAGGAAGATGTTACTTAAAAAATTTATTCCAATATTAATTCATATTTGAATTTATTTGCCTTTATTTCTTTATCCTAAACACGTGAAAAAGCTTTTGCGATTGCTAATAAAATAAATGATAATCGATAAAATATAGAAATAACAAGATCATCGATATTAATATTATCCAAGCAATTTAAACATTATTTTAAATTAATTTTAAAAAAGGTTTGCCAAGAGTTCCCCCCCCCCCCCCGCCCCCG